GTCAGTTTTGCCCTTAGGGGTTAAAATTTAAAGTTGGTTAGGGAGGAAATAGAGAAGTAGAAGAAGAGGAAGAGTTTAGAAGTAAGATTGGAGGACAATGGGGGATCATGTAACTTTGGGTAGCTGGTGCACAAGAGTGGAGAGAAAGAGAGAAGGAAGAGATAAAAAAAGAATGAGGGCCAGAGATACAGCTCAGCAGCTTGGTGCCTGCTTGGCAAGCTCCAGGTTGTGAGTTCAATTCCTGGTATCAAAAAAAAAAAAAACAGAACAGAACCACAAGCACAGAGAGGCTGGGAACCACGTTCACACTCATAAAAACAAGATAAAACGGGGGCTGGGGATTTAGTTCAGCAGCACAGCGCCTGCCTGGCAAGCGCGAGGTCATGAGTTCGATTCCGGGTACCGGGGAAAAAAAACAAAAACCAAAAAAAAAACCCAAACAAAAACAAGATAAAACAATGAAGGAGAAAAAAAGAAAAATAGACAACAAAAGAATACAACAATAACAACAGTAACAAAATAACAATGGGGGGAGGCTGGGGATTTAGCTCAGTGGCACAGCACCTGCCTGGCAAGCACAAGGTCGTGAGTTCGATTCCCAGTACCGGAAAAAACAACAGCAACAAAAAACAACCCACATACATTGAAAGGTGTAAAACTGTGATCTGTTGTGATAGATTTTTCTGGAGAGGAGGAGCTTGTCTTCCCAGGGCTGCCTCGTGGGGCAGTGAGCAGCCTGTCTGAGGAGGGTAGAGAGCCAAGGTGTGTGTATTGAGGGCCACTGGGTCATGGTTGCACATCTCCTTGCAGGTGACCATCTTGGTGCTGCAGGGCCGTCTGGATGAGGCTCGGCAGATGCTGTCCAGGGAGGCTGATGCCAACCCCGCCTCTGCAGACATGTGCCGTATCCTGGGGGATCTGATGAGGACAATGCCCATTCTAAGCGTATGTGTTGTCACCTGCTGGGTTATGGAAGATGGGGATTTTGAAGCATAAAGGTGTGGGTGCAGTGGCAGCTCTCAGCCAGTCTCTGTCCTTAGCCTGGCAACACACAGACGCTGACGGAGCTGGAGCTGAAGTGGCAGCACTGGCGCGAGGAGTGTGAGCGGCACCTGCAGGACAACACGTTTGCCGCCAGCCCTGCCCTGGAGTCGCTGTGCAAGGTCTGGGGGGCGCCGTCGGTCGGGCCAGGTAGCTGCTCCGGGGGCTGTGGCATTCTGCACAGCCAGAGCAGGAGGAGCAGCTGCCCCTAGCTGGGCTGCCTGTCACCTGCTGGGAGGAGGAGAGAGCTTTCTACTTCTAGTTGAAACCGTGGGCCCCAGTGGAGTCCACAGCGTTGTGGAGAGAGTGGAGCTCAGGGTTGTCTCTCTGCAGATCATGCTGGGGGACGAGGCCGCCTTGCTGGAGCAGAAGGAGCTGCTGAACAACTGGTACCATTTCCTCGTGACTCGGCTGCTGTACTCTCATCCCACAGTAAAGCCCATTGACCTGCATTTCTATGCCCAGGTGAGTGAGCTCTGCGGGGAGGGGGCCCTAGGGTCCCCTCTTGGTTGCCTGCTGGGTCCTTCTATGTGTGTCCTCTTTGGGTGTTGGGTTTTTTTTTGTTTTTGTTTTTGTTTTGGTACTGAGAATTGAACTCAGGACCTTGTGCTTGCCAGGGAGGCGCTTATGCCACTGAGCTATACCCCAGCCCTCGTCGCCTCTTTGGAGCAAACCCTGCCCACCTTCCGGGCAGCAAAACTCTTCCCTTTAGCCCTGTTTGAAGGAGCCTGTCGCACCTCTCCAAGCTCCCTGTACACAGCCCCGCTGTGCCCTGAGTCTCTGCTTTCATCCTGGGGACTGAGTGGGTCATCACCTTCATCACCTTTCCACAGTCCAGCCTGGACATGTTTCTGGGAGGTGAGAGCAGCCCAGAGCCCCTGGACAACATCTTGATGGCAGCCTTTGAGTTTGACATCCACCAAGTGATCAAGGAGTGCAGGTAGGATCGAGGCCTTGCTTGCTACCACATTCCCTGTTTTAGGTACACAGTTCAGTGGCATTAAGTCCAATGACAATGTTGGCAACCCTCACTACATCCATTTCTTTTTTTTTCCTTCTCTCTTTCTTTCTTCTTGTTTTTTTTTTTTTTTTTTTGGTCTTTCTGAGACAGGGTCTCCCTATGCAGTTCAGGCTGGCCTTGAGCTACTCTGTAGCCCAGGCTGGTCTCGAACTCACAACGATCCTCTTTCTGTCAGCCTCCCAGTGCTGGGATAACAGGCCTGTGCTACCATGCCCAGCATACATCCATTCCTTTTATTTATTTTGTTTTTTCAGTTTTTTTCCAGTACTGGGAATCGAACTCATGACCTTGTGCTTGCCAGGCAAACGCTGTGCCGCTGAGCTAAATCCTCAGTTCTCATCCATTCCTAAAATGCATTCCATATCCTTCCTGCAAATCTGCTGCCTTAGTCTTATGATGTTGTAACTGAATACCTGAGCCTGTGTCATTTATCCAGGACATATAATTTATTATTTCACAGTCCTGGGAATTCTAAAATGGAGGCTCTACCAAATTTGGGCTGCTGTCTGCTCCCACAATGGCATCTTGAGGGGGGCATCCTCTAGAGGGGACAGGGGAGGAACATCGTCCTCACATGGTAGGAGGTGGAAGGGAACAGACTCCTCCATTGGTCCCCTTTGTAAGGTCACCTGATTGATGGGTTGATGTATTGGTATGGGAATTGAACTCAGGACCTTGCGCTTACCAGGCAGACACTTACGCCACTGAGCTATAGCCCTGGCAGGTCACCCGATTTAATTCACATAGGAGTCCTCGTGGATGAATCACCTATTGAAGGTTCTACCTTGTACTTGATGTGCTGCCAAAGCAAGCACAAAGGCCCCACCTCTAATACAGGAATTCTGAGGTGACACACATCCCCTGTCCCTTCTCCCTTCCCTGGCATAATTAGGTAGATAATGGCTACTCTGTAGGTGAATATAGGACTTGCTGGAGGCTTCAAGACTACTAACTTTTCATTTTAGGGATACCTGCTTAAAACAACATTACAAGCTGGGCATGATGGCGCCTACCTGTAAGCCTAGTACTTGGAAGGCTGAGGCAGGAGGATCACCACCAGTTCAAGGCCAGCCTGAACTAAAAAATAAAACAATGTTGCAGCAGATGTCTTTGATGTTTAAGATCTAGAAAAAGCAAGCTCTTTTCTTGGCACCTACTGCCACATGCAGCCACCTTACGGGACAGCACTTTGGGCCAGTCAGGTTCTCGTGAGTGAGGCTCCCAGCTGTCAGGCTCTGGCTGCAATAAGCATGTCCTTCATTGTGTGGAGCCTTTAGTGAGGCAGGAAAGGGAGTGTCACATCAAGTCTCCATGCTAAGTCAGAAAGCAGCTTCCCTTCCTTACAGAGCCCAGATGGCGCACTGAGGCCCATTTGGAAGGAAGTCGGGGGTGGCAGTCTCGGTCTGTACGAGTTCACTGACCTTGACTCGTTCTGTTTTAGTGGATCTGGGCAATGGGAAGGTTTCTCTCCTGCTACTTGCTCTTGTTTTGGCCAGAAGAAAGCCTGGATTTCAAGAAAAATGATGCCAGGTTTGGGAAAAGAAGTTTCCTGTCAGTATTGTTTTCGCAGGCCTGTGAAAAGCTGGTGCAGATGTAGGAGTGTCTGAGGGGAGAAGGTAGTGGAATAACTGAAAAGCCGCACATCAGTTTGGTTTCGTTGATTTGTGCCATAGTTCTAAGCTGTAGCTTCCTGAGTGCACTGTCCATTACAGTAGTGATGTAATGGGCTTCCTTCATAAGCCAGGTCTGGGCTCTTAGGAGCACAACAGATTTGAACAGAATGAGTATCTCGGATGCAGAGAGTGCATGTGCGAGAGCACTCTGCTATTTCCAGTAAGAGGAGAAGGGGAGGTAGCAGGGAGGAGGAGTGGCTTTTCTGCATAGCGTAGAGCACAGGGTCCCACAGGGGCAGTCGCACAGAAGCATCAAGCTCACAGCACTGTTGAAGCATCTCTGCCATCAGGAGCAGGAAGGGATCTGGGATGTTGGCTGGGAATCTCCGCTTTGCCTTTTTCTAACCAGGAAGCTATCTCCAGTCCATTCTGAAAGAGGAATTGGCACAGAGTCCTAAGACCTTTTCCCAGGAGTGGGAGCAGCTGCAGTGTTTCCCGAGGCTGTAGCAGTTTTTAAAATATGCCTTCCTAGTGGAGAAAGATTGAGTTGAGTCTTGCAAGCACTTGGCTTCCCAAGGGCTCAACTGGTCAGACTGGGACAGTTCCGGGGAGAGGGGAGTGTGCAGCTTTGTGAGCTGATGGTGTGGAAAAGCCTCGCTGCTTGGGGCATCAGCTGGTCCGTGACTCTGCCCCATGACAGGCGGATGAGGGGAATCCTTTGTAAAGATGCTGGAAGGGAGGTTTGTAAATGGGCACCTGGCTACTCCTTATGAACTCCCAAACCCTCGGGCAGAAACACAGCCGGGGGTCCTGAAGCACAGGCTCTGGCCCGTAAGCCCGCTACAGGCCTGTGGGTTTTCCTGTCAGCACCTGTGTAGGTCTGCTTGTCCGTTAAGCCAAACAGCTGCAAGATGGCAGCAGGAGTCCTCTGAGGGTCCACTTCCTCCCCATGGCCGCCTTGAAAGATGAGCCAATTCCTTGCTGTCTGGCAAAAGGAAACAGCTGGCACCCACTTCACTGGGTGTGAGGCAGGATGTTGGCAGCTGCCTGATGCCCCATCCATGTAGAGGCTGCTCGCACGGAAGTTTCCCAAGCACGGAAGGGTACTCGCGCATCCAGTACAGATTTGCCTGACCCTGCAGGGACTGAAGGTGACCTCCTTCAGCACTGTGTCCAGAAGTGGTCACCTGAACCCCGCTGTCACTTTTCTAGGGGCCTTCAGCAATTGCTACCTTCCAGACTTGGCAACTGCTGTGTCCCTTTGTGGAGACACCAGAAGCTGCAGCAGTCTTCCTTTCTCTTTTTCTTTCTCTCTCCCTCCCTCCCTATCTTTTTTGCTGTACTGGGGATTGAACCGAAGACCTTCACATGAGCTACATTCCAAGACTTTTTTTTTATTTTCAGACAGGGCCTTGCTAAATTGCCCAGGATGGGCTCAAATTTGTGATTGTCCTGTCTCAGCCTCCTAGAGTGCTGGGATCACAGGCCTGCGCCACCATCTACAATGTTGAGGTCAGATAAAAGGTTTTTAGAGACCAAAGGTATAGCTCAGTGGATGGTGGAGTCCTGGAGTTCAATATCCGGCAGCAGCAACAAAACTTTTTTTTTTCTTTGTATTACTGGGGTTTGAACCAGAGCTCCCACATGGTGCTATGTCCCCAGTTTTTTTTTTTTTTTTTTTTTTTTTT